ACCGGCACGCGGGGCACGGGCGCGGCGCGGAGCATGCCGGGAACGGGAAGCGCCGCCGAGCGCCCTCCCTGCTGCGCACGCTTAGCTCCCGCTCCAGCCACGCTGCCCGCCTGAAAAGGCGCGAGGCAAGTGGGCTGGCGGGCGCAGGCAGTATGCTGGGCCGTGGGGTGCTGGGCCGGTGCCAGGCGGCCGTGTTGCGTGGAGGTGAGCGGCAGGGTCAGGCCTGCAGTAGCAGCCTTCGGCATGGGGGAAGCTCGCCTCGAGGCAAGCGCTGGGGGGCTCCTGGCAGGAGCCAGAGCTCGGCAAGGCTGAGCTCCTCTGCCCTGGCAGGCTGCAAGGTGCTCGCTGCTACACTTGGGAAGAAAAGGCTTTGCTGTCGCTCTGCCTGGCTGGTGTGCGGGCGCCTATGGAGCGACAGGGACACCTCGTGCCTTCATGTAGGCCTGAGGCTGCAGGTGCCTCTCTGAACATGAGGGAGACCAGCAGGTGGTGTGTGCCAGCTGTTGTAAATGGGGCAGCTGTTGGTGGTTTGGGTGTTGCCTGCTGTTTTCCTAGCACCAGTAAAATGGCACACTTCATAACCTTGAATGCTCTGAGTAGCACCATCTCATTCTCTATTGAACGTGGTGCTTTTCATGGAGTGTTTTGAAGCTTCCTAGAATACTACTGTCAATCGTTGAGCTTAGGGACAAAGGGAGTAAGTATGGTGGTACCTGCATAACTTCAGGTGACCCTATCTTGATAACTAACACTGTCTAGTTAACAAAATGTATTAACCTATCCACATCAGTTGAACGCTTTTTTTTTCTTTTTTTGTAGCGCAAATGGCTTTTGCATACCCCTGACTTCTAACTATTGGCATAGGTCCCTTCTGTGCTAACTTCCAGTTTAGCTGGATGTCCTTTAGAGCTGTCTCCTTAAAAAGAAACTCTTAATGCTTCAGTAGTACTGGCAGAAAGGTATCCTTGGAACCCTACAAAGCAATTCTATAAAACACATGGATGTGTTCGATCCATATACTGTAATGGAGTGAATCCTAAGATTTGGCTATTGTAACTCTAAGAAGCTAGGCCTTGAAAGGGTGACCTCAGTGGTCCAGTCCTGTGTGTTTGCAGGGTCTTTTTTTTTCTCTTTTCTTTTAAGAAACTATCCAGTTTGTCCTTTGACTTGTAGCATCCCCAAGGTATCTAATAAAAACTAAAAATGTCTTGTGCTGTTGCACCTGAAACTGTGCTCTTACATGGATACTAAAGGAAATCCTTTAAAAGTATGTCATCTGAAGGGATTGTAAATCTGTTAAGTCCTTTAAAAAAAAATCCCAGGCCTTCTGGATATCTGATAGAATTAACTTCTACCAGCTGAGATGGAACTATTGGCTGTACTAAGAACTGAAGTATTTAGCTTATAAACTGATCAAATAAGTTGTTTTATAGCATGCATGGTTCTAATTTACAAGGCTAAATGGTGACAGATGGTCCATGTCATAAGTAGTGATATCCAGAGAGAACGGATTCAAATTAATAGTAAACAGCCTTTACTTCTAGTAGAAGGGTGCCATGTGGCAGCAGGTGACTTACGAATGTTGCATCAGAAAAATGTTACACATTGTATAACCATGTTTTTCCTTTTTAACTGCTAGTTCTTTAAATGCTTTACAGTTAAAGGTCTGGGTAATCCAGAGTTAATATGAAGTCCATGTAAAAAGTCATAACTTTGAGTTGCACAGTCTTCAAGTGAGGGTTATGATTTTTTAACACTAATTGTTTGATTCTTATAATGAGGCTATATTTCCCTATTAGGGAGAAACTATGCTGCCAAGACTTCAGAGTCTCCTAAGCCTGGTGATGTCAGAGGGCGTATTGTAGCAGTTATAGGTGCTGTTGTTGATGTTCAGTTTGACAGAGGCCTTCCTCCAATTCTCAATGCCTTGGAGGTGTGGGATCGGGAAACTAGACTGGTGTTGGAAGTTGCTCAGCACCTTGGTAAGTGTGACTTGTTGGAAAATCTGTTTGTTTTGGGTTCCTAAAAGCAAACTGTAGTAGTTTATAGTTACTACTAGTTCTTATAGATCAAGGGTGGGCAAAGTTTGGCCTGTGAGCCAAATTAAGCCCACAGTGGAATCAATTTCCCAGCAGCCCCTGCCTGCGTTGCTGTGGCTGATTTTCATAGAGATGCCAGCAGTGGCAGGGCTGTGACTGCACTGGCCAGGCTGACAGTAAGGGGCCAGCACAGGGCTGGAAGGGTGCATGGCTGGGCGAGCAGCTGCTCTGGGGCCAGGATCTTGCAGCAGGGACAGTGTGGTCTGGTGCTGGGGCAGAACTGCAATGTGTTGTCCACGTGTCCCAGGCAGGGGTACAGAGATTGTGCCGCAAGATCCCATCCCCATCCCTGGAGTAGCTCCCTGCCCAGCCATGTGCCCTGCCAGTGCTGCTGGGGCCTGTCTCCATGGAAACCCTGGACCCCCACTATCATGGCCCCACTGCTACTGTGGTCTCCGTGGAGACTGGCTTCAACAATATAGGTAGGAGCTGCTGGGAAATGGAGTCCGGCCACTGGCCAGATCTATCTTTTTGCCTGCCCCTGTTATAGATGCTATGGTTGGAAGGGACCTCAATGGATCTTGGAGTCTGACACCCTGCCAGTGGCAGGAAAACATGCTGGAGTTTTGTGACCCCCAGCCAGTCTCTTCTTGAAGACCCCCAACGTAGGGGAGAGCACCACCTCCCTTGGAAGCCTGTTCCAGATTCTGGCAACCCTAACCGTGAAGAAGTTCTTTCTGATGTCCAACTTAAGTCTGTTCTCTATTAGCTTGTGGATGTTGTTTCTGGTTATGCCAAGGGTAAATCACATCTCCTATTCCCTGCTGCCCCCCCTTGTGAATTCGTATACTGCCACAAGATCCCCCTAAGCTTTTTCTTGTGGAGGCTGAAAAGGTCCATGTCCCTCAGGTTTTCCTCATAGGGCCTTCCCTGCAGGCCTATAACCATGCGAGTGACCCTCCTCTGGACCCTGTCAAAGTTTCATATAGTCTTCTACTAGGATAAGTATGAAGTGTCTGGCTTATCTCTTTCACTCTAGTTCCATAGCAACTTGTAAGCTGTTCTGAATACCCTTAAGTGCTACTTTATGAGCTTCCTTCTGCCATTGCTGATTGGGTACGCTTTAGGCAGGGGAGGCCTAGCTCCCCCCATAATGACTGTCTATTTTTCCACCTGCAACATTTTGGCTTTTCCTTAATTTCCTTTGTGCTAAAGCCTCCTAGACTGCTCATCAGAGAATGCTCCTCATTGTAGGTTGAAGAGTTGCAGACCTATTGGACCAAAAAGCTACTATATGCTTTCCTATTTTTATTGTTAACTTACAAAATTTGGTGATGTACCAACACTTCTGGTTAACCATGATGCCCTTTAAACTAAATTAGTATCCTCTCCTAGCAGTTGAGCTGAATGATCAGGATCTGGAGTTTAGGTACCTCCTGGGTCTATTCTTTTAACAGACATTCATGTCACTAGTTTAGGTTTTATAGTGCCTCTTTTAGGTGACATTCAAATGACCTTCCCTTTGTATATCATTATCCTTTGTAAATTATAAGGAATAGGACAAAGATGCTATGGCATAGCAGTATCCAGGTGTGTCAGGCAATGTCTTATTGGAATTTTCACTACTTTAGGTGGATGCTGGTTTGTTTTCTACTGAAGAATATTCTTTGCTTTTGACTTCATGTAGGGTTTTGAGAGGCTGTGCATAGGTGGATTTAGTTTTATTGGGGTGGGGGAAGTATTAATACAGACATAATATGGAGTACTTGCTTAAGACTTCTTTAGAAAATTTGAGACTTAAACTACTTTTATGGGTACACTTGTACTGAAGGGTTGTGATTTACTTTATGTAGGCTGAGCTGACTTCATTTGCTTAGGTTTGGGGGCCCAACTTCATACCACCTCTGCCACATGCAAGGACCTCTGGATTGGGTCCAAGATCCCAACTGGGACTGGGATAGTTCTTATTTTCCTATCGTACCAAAATCCATGTGGATCTACCCATTGCATGCTAGAGCATCATTACATTGTTTAGATCAGTGGTAGGTAACTTTTTCCAGCTCTAGACTGGAATGACCCATCTTGGGTCAGAGGTGAGTGAGCACTAGGATTACCTACAATTGGCATTGCTTCTGGGGTGGGGTGGGGGTGCACTGTGAGAACTTGCATAGCCAGGGTCTCATGTTGCCAAATGCTGCTGTGTTTACTGGCCAGAGGTTGTTGCCGTTGGTTCAGATGAAAAATTCAGCAGTTGTGATTTTTATGAAGCTCTTTTCTTAAGCAAAAAGTCCTCATTCTACCACAGAAGCAAAACTGTAAAGCTTTTTTTTTTTTTTTTTTTTAAGGTCAATATTTTATGTTTTCTGCAAACTCAGGGTGATGACAGCCTGGTTTGTTTCTAGTTTGCACTTCCAATCTTAACTAGATAACCATAAATCAAACTTCATTTCTAAACCTTAAAATCCAAGTTGATATTTGGTAAGAAGCAGTGGATTTTGCAGATTGAAGTCACCTGCACAGGCAAGGAACTTTCTCATCCTTCTGCCCCTCTTGTACATAGGTTTATAAAGTTTTATATTTTATATGAACTATAAATTACCTTCCTATGTGGCCCTGAATAACTTTGTGTACATGCTATACACTTTAAACTGGGGGTGGACTGATAAAGATTTTTTGGTCAGTACTGATGGCCAGTTATTAATGAGCCATATTGGCTGCTACTGATCCGATTGCTGATATGCAGCTTGGAGAGCAGCAGCTGGCTGGTAAGTCTAGGGTGGGAGTGGGGCAGATTGAGGCCCCTGCGGTGAGGGAGGGAGTGGGGCAGGAGCAGGCACTGTCTAGCTTGGGTGGAGCATGGGGACAGAGCCGTGAGTGACTCGTCCAGGTGGTATGGGAGAGGGGGCAGTTCCTGCCACTACATCACTACGTGCACCCCTGGAGGA